GATTAGAGGTGGCTTCAGCCAGGACACGCAGGGGCATGGTTTCCCATACATGTTGTTGTACCTCGTTCCTTTCCTTCAGGGAACAGTAGTTATATGCATAACATTACGTTTTTTAGAGAGAGAGAGAAAGAAATATATGAAAAACATCCAACAATATTTTAACCATGTTAAATGGATTTATAAACGGTGATTATTTTACAAAAACATTTTTAAAATGTCAGGACCAAACAGTTGGAGGTAAGTTTACTCAGGATGCAAAAGTTAATGCTCGACTCTCTACTGAAATAGTCTTTGTGGMCTCTGGACTTCTATAATGGCTGTGATGTTAAATATCATTGATTTGACTTTAATCCAGTATCTGTTTTTGGAGCACAAGTGAACTTGGCTGTTGCCGTGGCTGGAGACTGTCAATAAATTCCCCAAATATTCCTTTTTTCCTCCTGCTGCTGCTCTGCTCTGTCAGTCACTGATAACCATCGTTTCATCTGTCAGACAGCAGGGACTCGAAGCACCATCATATTCAATAAAGTGTCATTTGAAATAAAAAAAACAATAAAACTTAGGGTTGGCAGTATGTGTTTAGAACACATCCAGAAAAAGCACATAAATACCTGGAACAGAAGGTAATACATTTGACTTGTAATAATTCAACACATTTGATGTGTTTTTGATTAGTATCTTTCTCATTAGAGCCATCATACACTAGAAAAAATATAACACAAATATTAAAAACTTAATACTTTGGCTAATGTTTCACTCATCTTTCACCAACAAGATACACTCAGTGATAGTTTCTCTCAGATCCTTATAGTTTTATATAATGTTACATAAAGTATACTGTAAGGATATGTGTGCACACTGTACACATGTATTTATATGTACAGTCAAAGTAAAAGGCAAGGAAATACTCTGTCAGCTCTACTGTTTTATGTTTCAGGACATAATAAAAAATACTTCTTTTTTTTGGTAGAAACAACTTCATGTAAATAACAGCTGATAAGTTTAAAAGTGAAATTAACCTAAAATGCAAAATGTGTAAAAGGTTAAACGTATCAACAGGTTATGAAAGAAAAGAGTGTTGCTTTAATTTACTTTAGGAACCATTTAAAGCAGAAACTGTTTATTTATTTATTTATTTTATTTTTTGTAATTTGAAGTCATTCTTTAGTATTGCTTCATTGAGTCTGCAGGCAGTTGTTGCACAGAACTACAAAATCTCAAAAACAGGATTTAATTTGAGTTTATATCTGGACTTTAAATAAACCACTGAAACCTCAGATTTTATTTTCATCTTTTTTCCTGTAGTTTTGCTGCTGTGTTTGCAGGACTCTGACTCAGTTTGGTTTTTAATTTTTTTTGGTCTAAACAGAAATTTGTGGGCGTTATTCAGACGTTTCGTGGTTTGTTCAAATTCAACTTGAGGGAAAAAAAGTTTTCTTTTGGCAATGCTTTCAGTTAACCAGTATTTGTTCAGACGTTTTATATAATAAATGAACAATGCTCAAAAACTAGCATTAAACATGTCATCTGAAGAAGCCCAGTGTAAACTGCATAATTACCACCTATGAATTAGGGCTGCCACAAATTGTTGATGACTAATTTAATAATTGATTAGTCGTTTTTTAATTTTTATTTTTTTGTTTGTTATTTACTTTGTTTTTCTCTCTAAACTGCTTTGACACCTTCCACTGCCACATCTACCTTTCTGTCCTTGACAAACATGCACAGTAGTGGTAACTGGGGTAGGCTGTGGACGTCACAAGACATTATACAGACAGGCTCTGGTATCATGGCTACCTGGCAGTGTGGGATCATTTTAAGAAAATGAAAGAGAAACCTGTGTAATATCTGCAGAGCAGAACTTGCCTTCCACAGCAATTATTTTTAGTTAGCATTTAGCTAAAATCTAACCATGGTTATATAATAGCAGCTGCATTCTGACGTGATAAGCTCTACGTTTTAAATTCAATTAACGTATGATCCGATTAGTCGACTGATCGAAAAAAATAATCGGTGATTAATCGATTATAAAAATAATCGTTTGTGGCAGCCCTACTATGAATACATCTCCTCACTACAGGTTGGTGGATTTCAAATGGATTTATAACAGTTCTCAGACTGAGGGGATTGCTGATGTCTTTCCACCTTTGGCATAAAAGGGGAGAGGTGTTACCCCAATTTACATTTTACATGACAGTTTGTACTTTGGTAAATTATTTTGAAAAATCCACACAATTTGACATGCATGCCCTGGCATTGGGTACTTGCTGACATATAATGATGCAAAAGTAGCCAATACATCTGATCATCAACAGGTAAAAGCAGTAAGGATGGGTTTAATTATTTAAACATTTCTTATTGTTTGTTAAACAAATAAAATCAGGCTGTTACACATTGAAGTTGTATTCACCTCAATATAAGAAGTGATGAAGAATAAACATTTTTTATTTTGTCCCAAGATAAAACAAAACTTTAAAGGGGGGGTATTATGCAACATTGTTTTAATGTCATTCTCTCAACAAAAACATACCCAGAGTGTTGCTTTGACTCATTTATGTGTTTGATTAGTCCTTGAATCATCTATGGAGCTGTCTAAACGCTTGCTGGTACAAAGCCCCGCCTACTACACCTAGCTCCTTCCTGCAGCTCAGTCTGCAGCTGAGCTCCCGCCCCGCAGAGCACCCCTCCCCTAAAGACTTGTTTGAAAACATGCTGAAGTGGGAGTGTCTGAAATGGTAGGAGGTTCTTAAAAACACAAGAGGCCAACTTCAAGGCGTTTAGATTTCAAACTGATTTTTGATTTATACAGCCTTTTCACATCAACTAAAGATAACAGTTGCTTGATTTGGGTAAAAAAAATGTAATAATACCCCCTCTTTAAATAAAACAGGGCTTACTTTATATCGTACTGCCTTACAATATCACCATGTCTGTTTGCACGACATCTTAGTTTGTAGTTTCCATTGATTAACATTGTTAAACCTTTAACTGATTGATATGTATAAAAGAAAGATCTCACAGTAATCACTCACTCTTGGGGACGAATGAATAAATAATCAATCAAATTAATGTATTTTTACATATAGCTTATAAAAGATTCTGCAGTTTTGTGATAGATATCTATGCAAATGTCAAGTTTAGATTTTATTAGAATCTGAGAAACTAATACTCTAATGTTTTTTCTATTCAATACTAGTTGTTTAAATACCGTTAAAGATAAAATGGATGTTTTTTCACTAAGCAGATGCATTTATGGAGTTTTTAAAAGAATTATGTCAGTGCAGTAATAACTAAATCATGTTAAACCTTTAATCAGGATRTAGCAGAGAATAAATCTCATAATTTGAATTCTACCCTTTCAAACATGATCTCATCAGTCACGGGAGGATTACTCTGCTTGTTTTTAAAAACGGCTTTCCTGATTATCTACAGCTTCGAGAAATGTTGCGACCACAAGCTTATTTTACACCTGCACAGACCCAGACCTGAAGTCTAACAGACGGCAATGAAATGAATCAAGAATCGCTTGAAAATGGACCAAATTTTCTACGTTGAGGCTGTTCAGTTGTGTCGTGATCACAGTGCAAGATCCTAAAACTATGAGATTCCCACGCCAAACATGGCGCTGTCCCGCTGCCAGGTGTGCAGCTTTCTGATGTCATCGGCGCAAAGCGTCGTGTCCTGTTTGACAGCTGCCTGTGGAAGATCTAAAAGGTCTAAAAATAAAACAAAATCAACAAAGAAATGAAGTGAGGAAACCAGTGAAGACTATTCCAGCTGTTTCCCTGCAGAGTCTGAGCTGAACGTCAGAGTAGTGTGTTTCTTTGTTGGATTTGTATTAATGAACTCTTTATATCTTTCACAGATCACAGGGGAACACTAACAAATAAAATTCTGTCTTTTTTCCATAATATATTTGATTATTAGCTACATGAGCATAGCAGAGTAGGTTGGTGGTTGGAGGTAGGGTTGGGAGGTATCTCAGGGTTGGAGTTTACACATTTGGTCTTTTTTTTTACTTTTTAAATTATTATTATTATTAGAACATTCCTATAAAATCTGCTTGCATATTTGGACACCTGTTCTGGCAGCTCCAACGCCCACCTGCCCCATCAGTCGTCCTCGAGGGTTTCCGTCTTGATCCGGTTTCCCGCACCGCCTCGCGCTCCGTCCACCTGATTGGTCGAGGCCGGGCTGCTGGGATTCGCCGCCGTCTTTTCTGAACCGACTGGGTCCTGCGGTTCAGACAGCACGCTTGGGAGGCTGGGCTCGTCCTGGAGGGATGGGGACGGCGGGGACCAGGACGCGCCGGTCAGTCTGGTGCCTTCAGCCTGAGAGCCCGCCCCGGACACGAGGGAGCGAGCGATCAAGGATGTTCCCCTCTGCCCGGGCATGCCTCCTCTGGCCAGGGCAGAGAACCAGCTGGGGAGCTGAGGAGGAACCTGAGTGGAGGAGGAGACACAAAGTTAGGAGATGTTTTTGTTTTTTTGATATGAGGACATAGTTGGGAGTATACCTGGGTTGGAGAAGACAGGTCAGCCCGACTGAAAGCAAACTGCCTGGCTGTAGCTCTCTTGTCAAATAAGGACACCTCACAACCCTGAGACAACAAACAAAAGAGTCCCACGTCACATTAAAGTCGACACGTGCATGAACTGAGCACTGAAAGAGTCTGAGCTCAGGTGCTGCAGACTTGACTCACCTGGTCTGGGAAATCATTGCCATCCACCTCGTCRCTGTTGGACTGACCTCCTGGACTCTGAACCTCGATGCCATGGCTCTCCAAGATGGCTGCTTCTTCAAAAACACAAACTTCATCATAGCATATCAACTCTACGCACGTAGACCCACAAACAGCAACGATGACAACAAGCTCAGCTGCTAACGAGTGTTTGCTCAGGCTGCCCGAGTGAACTTGTTTAAACTTTAGGATCTCTCAAACTGACTAAAACATTACAGCTTTATTTACCGCCTCACAAAATGCTACGACTGCTACCATCACAGATGGTGATTATGATATTTGCACAGTTCTGCCAACTTTCTTTCAGAACAGTTTATGAACAGTTTAACAACAGAGATTAGGGTTTAGGAGACACTACTCTTGATAAATTAAAACATGCCAAGACTTTGATTCAATCTGATTTTTTAAAGTATTTACAGCTGTTCATGTCCACAAACACAGAGGTAAACATTACCTATATTAGCTCGCCTCTTGATGTCTTTGCGGCGGTTTGCAAACCAGTTGTAGACCTTCAGAGATGTAACTCTCTCCAAATCAGACAGCTTCTTTCCTGTAAACACACAAACACACATGTGTATAAGATCTCTGGACTGCCGCCATCTACTCCTCTGGTGCTGGTTTTTGAAAGAACACGTAAACATCTGCATTCCTGCGTGTGTCCAAGCTTTTACTTTTGTTGAGAAAGGAGAAAGCTGAGTAGTCCCTTTTTGTCTGTACAAACATGGATTTTTGTGACTGAGAAAAATACAGTCACAGATTTGAGATTTCTTTTGTTTTAAAACAAGGAGTTACTCAACATTTTTGACAAGACATTTACAAGATCTGTACAACCAGCTTAAAAGCTACACGCAGCTTGAATGCCCCGTCTGTCACAGAGCGTTGTATTTTTTTAAAGTTGGAACCTGTAGGATAAAATTTTAAAAACAACTTGACTTCTAAACTTAGCACAAAAAGTAAGGAAACATGTGTTTGGTAGATTATTTCTTTGTTTTAACAATGCTTCTTGACAATAAATCCTATTATTGGAAAGTGTTCATTCCCTTTTAAATGGTGCAACATTTGTAAGGAACATGCATTTGTGAGATGAGCAGTAGAGCTGAGTATGTATGTTGTGCATATGAAAAAGTTGACAAGTCTTCTCTGCCAAACAACTTATGTTGCTCTTATTGACACTTGTTTTGAGCTTCTGGTCCCCCGGGTGCAAGTGTGTTGACACCCACAAGGAATTTGTTTCTGACAGATGATGTCTCTCCAATACACATACATACAATATACACAGTGATAAAAGCACAATAGTATAAGATATGAACATTATAGTCTGTGGATTATATACAATTATATATACATTTTATATACAGTAAGCGTACACGGGGTGAGTGTGTGGTAAAAAGGGGAGGTTAGGCACTAGTTAGCAGGTCTAGTGTTTGGGATTGTTCATCAGGGAGATGGCCTGGGGGAAGAAGCTGTTTTTGTGTCTGGATGTTTTTGAGCTTGGGGCTCTATGGCGTCTGCTGGAGGGGAGAAGTTGAACGAGGCTATGTCTTGGATGTGTCGAGTCTGATTTTCTCTGCCYGTTTCCTGGTTCTTGTGGCGTACAGGTCCTGAAGCGTGGGCAGGGGAGCACCGACGACTCTCTCAGCTGCTCTGATTGTTCACGTCAACCCTTTTGAGCGTTTACCTGTACTTTCACCCTCAAAAATCAGTCATTTTCAAAAAAATAAATAAATAAATATGTTCGCTTTCTCTATTTGTCTGTATACCTGAAAAATAGGGGGAAAATCTGTAATTTACAGACAATCTGTGCAACTTGACTTGTATGCAGGTGCTGCCAATCAGGTGCCCAGTATAAGATTTATTGCCAAGAAGTAGCGTTACAACAGAAATAAATCTACCAATCTACCTTACTTTCTGTGCTAAGCATATTAAGTATATGCTGTCCAACTGCATCTACACCTGCAACCTACCAAACACAATAAGATGATGGTGTTTTTTAGCTTAAATCTCCAAATGATCCAGAAGGAAAATCTCTGCAGTTTTTTWAATTTTCAGGATATTTTATTGTGATTACTATCAAAAAGCACATTATAACCACAAAGCAAAGCCAAGTAAGCACAGTCCTGATTTTATATTTAGATCCATTAAGAAGTCAACATGAGTGACGATTGTTCAGATTTTTCAACAAAACTGTTTCTAATTTAAACAAACACAGCAAATTACACTGATTGTTAACAAAACTAAAGCTGAGTCACTTACTGAAAGTTAAAAGTTTTGCTGCTGTAAATGCTGAAGTGGATTTTCACACAATCAGGATGTAAACAGTTGGTGAGGTTTGGATTTAAACTGTCCATTCATTTAATTTCAAGGTTAAACCTCTTTAAAAGTAGAAGTTATACTGGGTAAAATGTAGAAGTAAATTATTGTCCTTAAAAACCTACTGCAGATACACTGCTGTGGTTGATAGTTGATATATTTGTCCAATTGCTAACCTTTCAGCATACCTGGTTTTTGAATGACAGAGTTGCAGGCAGTGGCGATTTCCTCCCTCTTGGCTTCATCAGGATACTGATTATCACTGAAGTAGCTGTTTACACACGACAAACTGCATCAATTTCTCTTTCCAAACTGTTTTTTTTTATTATGTCCATTTTGACCCTCTCAGGCTCACCTCTCCATGACAGCCAGACACTCCTTTCTCCAGGTGAATCTGCTGCCCCGTCTCAGACGGAAGCCTCCAGGGGCTGGCACAAACGGGGGTGGAGTTTGGTGCCACTCCATCACGTCCTCCAGAGCCAGAGGGGTTGCTCGCATGGCCAACGTGGCACCTGTTGTCCGTAAGATGTCATTATTTTGGCTACCTAAAATTGTTTGGCCTGTTGTGCTAAAAGCTTTGAGAGATCAACAGTTTATGAAGAACAGAATATTGAAGATGAAGTCTTGATGCTGCAGGGTGGTGTTACCTGGGTTGGTTTTCTCCAGCTGGTACCAGCGGAAGAAGGCTCTTTTCTTCTGCTCGCTGAGGTCCGATCCCTGCTGTAGGAGCCAATGGGAAATCCGGCTCTGACTGATCCCTAGAGGATGAAGGGCCTTGTGTCATTCAGTGGGTATGATGACTACATGGCCTTTTGTGTTAGTATTTTACTGGATACTCACCTGTTACCTGAGCAACCACAGCCTGGGAGATCCGTCTATTGGCCAAGAAAGACTTTATCTCCTCTTTGATCACCGCGCTGTCCCTCCTTCATTGAACATCCACAAAAGACGGCATATATTTAAATTGAAAGCTTCAGAAGACTCCTGCGTTAAAGGCAGCTTTATATACTTTAACACCAGCTGTAACGTGTGGAAAATGGATGCAAGTGTGTGAAAAGCAGGCCGCCTCTTGCTGTAATACTCTCTGCTCTCAGGTTTGATTTCATCTTCACACATTTTTAAATCAATACAGCTCTGATTGCTGCTGTCTGGCTGCAGACTACAGATGAGAGGCACTAGACTGCATGTGAGAATTTGTGTAATCCTCAAAGCGTATTCAGATTCAGACCAAGCCGGCTGATTGAAATCAGGACCTCAGCTGAGGTTATAGACTGAATGTAACATGAGCAGAGTTTCAGAACAAATGTATACTTTTGATTTATTCATCTCTTTATGTTTGTAATATACAGAACTGTCAGCTTTAAATAGAAGGTGTCCATAAATTTRCGCAGTTCTGTAGCTCTGACCCAACCCATTTTTCCTAACACAGCCTTTAATTTGAGCCAAATCTCAAAGCAAATGGTTCAAATGTTATGTAGCCTGTTATATACACAATAAACATATTACATGCATGTTGTTTCCAGAATGTGACGTCACAAATATCAAACCTTCTGTGGTAAATCAGTTTCATTATCTTAAAGATAGGGCTGCTACGATTAGTCGACTAGTCACGATTATTGTCGAGTATTAAAAACGTTGATAATTTAATAGTTGATACGTTGTTTTTTTTTCTAACTTTGTTTTTCTCACCAAACTTCTGCTGCACCTTCCACTGCCGCATCTGCCTTACTGTTCCAGACACACATGCGCAGTAGTGGTAATTAGGGCTGCACAAATGATTATTTTTATAGTCGACTAATCAGTGATTAGTCGACTATAAAAAATAATACAAAGTTAGAAAAAAACGACACAGCGAGTTGACATAATTGTGACTAGTCGACTAACCGTGGCAGCCCTACTTAAAAACAAATATAGTTAATTGCTTTGAACTAGTTTAATGTGTTAATTTCTGTTCTTGTACATTCTGGTTTAGCCTACTTGGAGGTAAGCTTGGTATTTTCTTACCTCATTAAATCCTCCACCTTATCGTCAAGATCTAAGTCCTCTTCACTGGCCTCAAATCCATAACCTGGTGCAGTCACGCCACCGCCAACTATACCAAGAGGAAAACGTGGCGGCGAAAGCTTTCCGTTGGTGACGGCAACAAGGCCATTTGGCACGACGGCTGCCACTGCCACTGGTGAGGCTGTAGGAATTTGCAGAGGTGGGGAGGTGGATTCAAAGTTGTTACTGGGTGAAAGAGAGAGCTGGTTGTCTGGAAAACGTGTCTGGGTAGAGGTGGAAGTCATGGACAATGAGGCAGAGACGGTGTTGGAAGAAGACAAGGAAGACAACGGCGGCATGTAGGAAGCTTTATGGGTCAGCTTGTGTCCATGCTGCCGGTCCAAGTGGTCAAGGGTATCCAGAGCATGGAGGACCTCCACCTGGGAAATACCCGTCCGTCTTAGCCTTTGGAGGAGGTCAATCTGCTCAATGGTGAAGCGAGGCTCCTCACTCTGCTGGAACATCCTGTAAAGTTTCATCATAAAAACTTCTATTAGAAGGGAATTTAAACAATGGCAGAATATTGACAATAGCTGTAATGATTTATTTAAGCAGAAAAAAAGGTTTGCTTTTTAATTTAAGAAAAAAAAACAAGTTCTAGTAAATAAGCCTGRAAAAATGACTAATTATCTGCTGACTCTGCAACTAGAGACAAGTGTCATTGTTTTAAAGCCTCTGGTGTAATTAATGAGAATTTAGACAGCTGATGATGGATTTTAAGATGAAAAATTTGTGTTGTGTCAGGCAATCTTAGAATCTCAATCAATTTTAATGAGTGGATTTAAAATGAATTATGTCCATAGCACCATGCTGTTTTGCTTTGTAAGCACTCTGTGTAACTGAAACAAATACAGTATGAAAAATCAAAACTATTGTCATTTGAATCGACGACGAATTGATGAAGCTTCCTCAGTATTGATAACTCTGTACTGGTCTGTTGTGGTGAAGAGGCAGCTGAACTGTAAGGCAAAACTCTCTGTTTACCGATCGGTCTACGTTCCTACCCTCGCTTAGCACGAGATCGCGGATACAGGTGGTTGAAAAGAGTTTTCTTCACAGGGTGGCTGGACTTTCCCTTATAAATAGGTTGAGAAGTTCAGTTATCTGGGAGAGCCGCTGCTCCTCCACATCGAGGACCCAGTTGAGGTCGTTCAGGCATCTGGTAAGGATGCCTCCCTAGGGAGGTGCTTCAGGCATGTCTAATTCGGAGGAGACCCTGAGGAAGACCTAGGATGTGTCTCTCGTCTGGCCTGGGAACATCTTGGATTCCTCCTGGAAGAGGTGGATGGAGAAAGAGAGGTCTGGGCCTTCCTGTTCCCTGCTGCCCCCACAACCCGACTCCGGATGAAGCTGAAGATAAAGAATGGATTGCCCTTTGGCTCATCTTGCAGAAAGATATACAACAAGTATTGGCATATCCAGCAAGGAAACCTGCTTCCAGCAAACTCAATAATTTAATTTTCCAAGTAAGCGTTTAGCTAAGATTTCACGAGAGGACATTTATACCCTGAGTCGGAGGACAAATGCAACTGCCCCCCACCCCAAAGTTGGGTAAAGGTGGGTATGATGAGGGCCATCAAGATGCAACATCCCACATTCTTCTGCAGTTGACAACTGAAGCTACAAAATCCTGTTGTACAGGTGCTGCCATGTTGTAAGGGTCTGTGTACCAGGGATGTGGGGCTTAAGGTTGCTTTTACGGTTGATATTTCTAGCACAGTAGAACTTGTAATCATATTTAGTGTTTCTTTCCTAAATAGTTCACCTCTAATTACTGTGTTTTTCAAAACCTCTTTACTAATGTATTACATTAATAGCATTAAACCAGGTTTGTTCTGATCATAGAACGTAGGTTTGGGATAGACAACAGATGATATGAAGAACACTATTACACAGTTTGTGTAACTCAAAACCCTTTTCACTGTTGGTTTGTTGCTTTGGTTGATAACAATGCGGCTCAGAGGAGAAAACACTGCTCTTGTAAAGATATCACACATTGTCACATTTTTGTTCTTTACAGTTTGTACAGAGGACCTGGCTTGGGTTTCATTTCAAATAGCTGCAGATGTTCTTTTGTATTATCTGTGAGGTATTTTCTTTTCTAACAGTGAAATTTGAGTGCCTCATTACATAAATGAGGGATGGTTTTTTTTTAGGTTTTGTATCTAAGAATTTGAAAGGTTGTTTTTTCTATTATTATCCCAGGGAAGCAATTGTTTATGGTTTAGATTGGAAATGCTCTTGATTCTACTAGCATGGAAAGATTTGTGGCTTAATGTTCAGCGACATTACACACAACATTTAAGTTGGTACAGTTTTCACTCAAAAAAGGAAATTTATGTGGTCATTACATTAAAACAAGTATAACATGTACTTTTAACATAATAATAT